CCTAAGCCCTCAAGACCCTAAACCCTAAACCCTCAAGACCCTAAACCCTAAACCCTAAACCCTCAAGACCTTAAGCCCTAAACCCTAAACCCTAGACCCTAAACCCTAAACCCTCAAGACCGTAAACCCTAAACCCTAAACCCTAAACCCCAAACCCTCAAGACCCTAAACCCTAAACCCTAAGCCCTCAAAACCCTAAACCCTAAACCCTCAAAACCCAAAACCCTAAACCCTAAACCCTCAAGACCTTAAACCCTAAAGCCTCAAGACCCTAAACCCTAAACCCTCAAGACCCTAAGCCCTAAACCCTAAACCCCAAACCCTCAAGACCCTAAACCCTAAACCCTAAACCCTCAAGACTCAAGACCCTAAACCCTAAACTCTAAACCCCAAACCCTCAAGACCCTAAACCCTAAACCCCAAACCCTCAAGACCCTAAACCCTAAACCCTAAACCCTAATCCCTAATCCCTAAACCCTCAAAGCCCTAATCCTCGGAAGGTCTTGCTCGCCGGCGCAGGGCCGCGCGCCGCCCTGGCCAGAGACGCAGAGGGCCGAGCCCGGGCATCTCGGCCGACTGTCTTGAGGCTTTAGTTTAGGGTTTAGGGTTTAGGGTCTTGAGGCTTTAGGGTTTAGGGTCTAGGGTTTAGGGTTTAGGGTTTAGGGTCTTGAGGGTTTAGGGCTTAGGGTTTAGGGTTTAGGGTCTTGAGGGTTTAGGGTTTAGGGTTTAGGGTCTTGAGGGTTTAGGATTTAGGGTCTAGGGTCTAGGGTTTAGGGTTTAGGGTTTAAGGTTGAAGGTCTTGAGGGTTTAGGGTTTAGGGTTTAGGGTCTTGAGGGTTTAGGGTATAGGGTTACAAACAGATACTGCAAGGGACCACAAGGTATCAATTCGGTTTTAGTATAGGGGTATTATAAGGGACCATACGGTGTCATGTTTTGGGACAAATCTCAGAAAGCTTACCAACAAGGGACTGTAAGTGACCATAAGGCATGGAAAGGTGCTCCGAAGGCTTGTGAGGGCCCCGACTTGCAAAGGTCCTGTCAATAAAGTAGCTGAGGGGTTTGGGTTCAGGATTCCCTCAAATCGACGGAGGCCCTACAAGGGATCTTAAACCCTAAACCCTAGAAGGGATCTATCCAAGCTTTTAGAATGCTTTTGCTGATGCAGATTCTTGTCCCGAGCCAAGGCCGAAAAAGAAGTAGCGTGCTCAGTTACGGTGCTTTGCTTATTGTAGTTTCCACGCGTAGTCTCGCAGTAACGCCGCTTACCCCGACTACTACTACTTGTACTGGTGCTGCTACTACCAGGCATCCGGTTACAGAGCGAGTCTCCATTCAAGTACTGGGCCGAGGTGTCGCTTGAGTTCAGGCCTGGTGAGTTTTTTCTTTCCTAAACATCAACATGGGAGTTTCCGAAAATTAAGGGGGTACCATATTTTGGGGGTCCTCATAATTAGGATCCTACTATTTAGGGTACTATCTTAGGGTCCCCTATTTTCGGAAACCCCCACACATGGTTTAGGCTCAAAATGTTCCGGACGAAGCTGCTGCAGCTGGGACCGTCACAGAGCCGCTCGCCAGAAAAGGGTGAACGACGAAAAACCGAACCGACCCCCTATGCGTGGTGAGTAACCAAGGCAAGATTTGCTTTGCTATAACCTTGCCTTATGGCTCCTTTGTGGCAACATTGCCGCCGATGTTCGACGAGCTGTCCGTGCTGCACAGCGCCGGCGTGCTCCCGCGGTTGTAACTCGGTGCTGACGTGACGTGGAAAGTCGAAGCAGATGATTTCACAGTGCCCAACCATGATAACGTCCATGGTCTGATGCAGTCTGACAAGAGAGCATCCATGGCCCAACCATATAACGCCCTTGATCTGAGTTGCCGATATGCATGGGAAGAAACTCAAACCTGAAGCCCAAACCCTGAAGCACGCCGCTTGGCTTTGCCTTTTGCTGTGGCTTGCCATCCCACAGAAAGGGCTGAGGTGTACAAGCACTCCTTCAGCGTTGTGGCTACGGAGCTTCAGTGGAGGCGACTTCCAGCTACAAGTCAAGTTCATACCGACTGGGCACCGGGTTTACCGTCGGCAGCAAAATCTGCTGACCCGAATGTGCCATGTTGCCGATATCGAGCACATGGTTGCCAGCTTCACGGCGAAGCAGACCACGGCCGCAATTGACGGCCAAGACATCAAGGTTCCAAGGATGAAAAGTCGTGACAGGAAAGTTGTGCAAGCTTACATACATGCCATAGCGTTACTATCAACTTCCAGCCTCTTCTTGGTTTCGCTTCGAACGATCTTGACGCGAGTCAGGGACGGGTGGAAGGAGGAGCCCTGGCACGACTATTTCGCGGCCCAGTGCCTGTATACAGCTTCCTTCAAGCAGGCCCTTTTCGGTCAGTCGGAAGCAAAAGCGGCCAAGTGGTGGTACGGCAGCAGCACGCCAATTGCAGCTGGCATGCACCCTCACAGCGGACGGTATGAACTTGGTCCTAACTGTGTAGCACCTTTCAGCTCAGACACCAAGCCGAAAGGTCCCGCAAGGGAGCCGGAGCCCAGCTGCAGCGCTGCAGCAGAGATGCCGGAGAAAAAACAGCTTCCCAACCGGCTTAGAGTTTGAGGCCACCGGGTGAAGTTGAGGGCGTTTTAGGGTTTAGGGGGTTAAGGTTATGGTTTATGGGTTCAAGGTGGTGGTTCATGGTCGAGGGAAAGGCGTTCGAGGTTGGAGACGCAAGTACCCAGTAATGGCGTATTCGAGTTTCGAATCGCAATAATAGAGAAACATTATGTTTTTCTCGATGCAGACGTTTTGCTACTGTCGCCGCCTTCCGCTCTGTAATTTAATTAGCGCTCTCGAAAAAGAAGATTACCATGGTCTTGGCTGAAAACAAACCTCAGCCGCCGAATAACCTCAAGCCCGAAACGGGTTAAGTTATGTGCATTTCCTAGGGAACCTT